ACGTGAATTTAGATCTGCATGTCGCGTCATCCCGAACAGCTTAAAACCAGGAACTTCTCCCTCCCCTGTCTTGAAGTGAAAAGCCCCTTCAAATTAAAAAGAATAGTTTTTCTGCTACAAAAGTTTTTCCATTCTCTTTTTATTGACATAGTAAATCTAGCAGTGCTGTTATGTAGTGTCAGCGTTCCACCAGTGTCAATATTTATGGTCGCCTTCTAATCAAAATAAATAGAAGTCCTTTCAGTATAGGATTAAATGTATTAATAACTAAACAAAAATATCTTAATCAATGCTAATACTTTAATTCTTGGTGCAAACAAAGTTCATATTCACACTCTTATTAAAAATAGTGAATGTTTTTGTTGGTACATTTATTTGAAAGTCCCTGAGTTAAACCTCTAGTAGCAGAAAATTTTATCTAGTGTCCTATTGAAAGCCAATAATATTTGGTCCTCTCCTTGAGTCATACTTATTTAGGTAAACATGCAACTGAAACTGCAGCTTAAAAACTAATCAAAAAAATCCATGCGTTGCAGGAAGCTGCAGCAGAAGACGTGACTGTTCTGCTCCTGGGAAACAAAAGTGAACATGCAAAGCGACAAGTTAAAACAGCACAGGGGGACATCCTTGCTAAGGTACTGTTTGAGGCAATAAAACCCTTCAATCGTCTCTTTCTGGTAATGTTACACTGAATCCAAACACTTTTCTCGACAGGAATATAACTTTGAATTCATGGAGTGCAGCGCAGCAACAGGAGAAAATGTTATTGAGGCTTTAGAAACTGTGGCCAGGTAATACTCGCCTTCATTTATATCCAACATACATTTGTCTTAATAAAGGTATTCATATGTTTGAGCTTATTAACATTTTGTAACATTCCAACCTTTTTACCATTAAACATAGAACATTGTTGTCCTGTGTAGGGAAAAACACAATCACTGTATTATAATTGTATCTCAGCATGAATCCAGCTGTTCTTTGAAGAGCTCAGAGCTCATTGGAGAACAAACAGCATGGTGAAGATCACAGAACACTGCAGATAGTTTAAAGGCCTCACAAATGCAGCCTTTATGAAAAACCTAATAGACAGACAGAGCCACAGCTAAAAACTATGGTTAAATATAGAACTTCATTTTCACAGATGGTCTCCAGCTGAACACTAATACACTATACTTTACAAATTTTTATCTAGAAAAAAATAAAAAGCAATCTTCATCCTTTCACTTCAGAAGCTTTACTTTAAATAGCACGCATCATAAGTGTACGTGTGAGTGTGTACATTTTGAAACGGTGTGAATACTTATTCAACACATTGCAAAAACCCAGTGATGAGTGCTTTGACATTTTATGGCTTTGTTTTGTATTTGTTTTTTTCTTGCTGTTGGCAGGATGCTGAGTCACAGAACTGACCTGCTGAGAGAGGAAGTCACAGTGTTACACAAAGAGCCGACAAAGAGAAGATCAAAATGTTGCTGAACCGATGCGTTTGTTTCACCAAGCAAGAGACATCCTGCCAATACTGGAGATCATTTCCTGAGGGAAACTCATACGGAAACAAAATGTATATAAAGTTACTATAACTTTGATTCCTCTTTATTATTTAATCTATAAAGGTACTTTTATTCTGAAACAGAGAAGTAAAAAAAAAAAGTATATGTTTAAAATGTGTTTGTTTTAATACCATCTTTATAAATCAGCTGCATGGTGAAAAGAAAAGCAGAATTTAGGTTTATCTAATTGTTTATTATGAGAATTTGTTTAGAATTCATCTTGTGGGACATTTTTTGGTTTGTTTTCTAATACTTCAAGAGGGCTTCCTTATTGGTTGAGTTTTCTGTTTTGAAAAGTTTTTGGTGTCCTCAGGTCCAGGTTTCATGTAGATACATTTCCATACAAGATGTTTTCTCTGCTCAAGGCTCTTCAAATGTTAAGAAGAGTCGCTCTTTCTTGAACTCTGCTCTGAATCATTTTTAAAACAATGCCAAGAGACTCTGATAATCACTTAAATGTATTTGCCTTTATTAAAAACAGTGGTTGTAAATAAAGATTTCAGTTTTAATGGGGTTTTTTTTACAAACTTTTTTTTTCTATGCTGATGTGCCTCGCCAACATAACCCACACTGATGAGAAACTCTGCTAAAGAAAAACCCAGAGACACAATCAATCACACAGAATTGATCTAATCTCATGTTCTATTCTCAATTAACTCCCAGTTTAACAATTTGCCTGCTTTGCAGACTTAATTTGTGTCCTCAAGTGAGTAGTGTTCCTCCAAACTGACAAAGAAAGCTGTGTTCCCAGAGGAACAACAAGTCCTTCAATGGCATGAGGAGCATGACAGCAATGGCGCCACGGCAATAACCTCATAGCTTCCCACAGGACGTTCAGCTGAGAACATAAATGCAGAGATGAACTCCTCCAGCATAAACAGAGGTCATGGATAATTACAGCAGATCTGATTTTAATGACTGGCACTAACTTTAGACAGTACGCTCACTCGCCAGTGAAAGTTCATTCCGTCTGTGTAGTTAAACACATAAACATTGACGTAGATAGTTTTCAGAGGAACACATTAAACAGCCAGAAAATTCTGGATTGTGTCCGTTTGGACCAAAGCAAACAATTAATCAATAGTGTTCAATAGGAAAGTTGTTTAAGTTTTAAAGTGAATCAGTTTCTCCTTTATTCATTTAAGATTCCAGCACGTTTTTTTTTTTAATGGCAGGTTTTTCTACAGTGGTCAAGCTTTAAATAGGAAATCTGCTAAAACCACAGACTGATGGAGGGTTTGACAGATGATTAAAGGATGGGGGAGATAAGGAATGAGTAGATAAACAATGGGTGCAACTTTTAGGTTAAAGGAAAATAAATTACTTTTCACTGTTTTTAATATTTTTTCATAACTGGAAAGCATAGAAAATTTCATGCTTTTCTTATCCAGTTTTGTGCAGCAACCTTATTTTTCCATGTAGCTAAATCATCTCTAGGAAATGAAAAAAATGTATACACAAAGAGAAAACAGTTCAGCCGCCATATCAGAAGGAATTAGACGTATACTTCAAACTCTAACCTTTACTGCAGACTTTAGGAAGACTAGTATGGAAATAAATCATATATAAAACTGGTTTAACCTTTTTCCATTTAGGATGCATTTCCCCAATAGAAGAAGCTGTAACATATATAAACTTCAAGCATAAAGAGTGCAAATATGAAATTGATTCATACTTGTGACCTGTGGTCAGGGGAGGCAGGAGTGCCACCTGTCATGAGAAGTAAATTGTATGATTAAAAGATAAGAAACCCAATTTGTCCCCTGAACTGTAATAGAAATTAATTCCCAGTGTGAATTTAAGATTTTATTTATGATAAAAATTCAGGAATTAAGTAATAGCAATTCAAATACATTGGAAAAAGGCAGAGTTAGGCAGGAAATAACTGCATCACCTCTGGCTGGGCTGACATACACACAGTAGCCCACCTATTTGCAGCATTCCCATTGCTGTCTTTCTTTATTACAACAATATATGTGTTGGATTACACATGTACAAAACAAACGGTTCCATAACCTGTCCCTTTAATATATGTAAGATCCTTTTTTTTATTTCCCCAAAAATGCAAAACAAACAGGCAAAAAGTACAGTGCCTCACTGATAAGGGGCAGTGTTGAGCATGATCACCAAAGACAGCAAGAGTTCAAGGTGCACATTGTTACATACTCCTTAGCTGCACCAATTTATATGTATTCTGAGAAAATGGTAATTATCTTTAAAAATAGCCGAAAAACTGAAAGATTTTACTAAACTATATTTTCAGTATTAATAGGTTTTAGAGAGAGGCAGACCAACACTAGACCTTTAAGAGCTCCAAGTGCTTCTTTAAACATGAGAGGGACCCAAAGAAGTTTGAGGCTAAACAGATTGATTTATCTTTTAATGGGCAGCAGAGACTGAACATCACCGACACAGAGTTAAGGGTGCAGGGGTTTGATTAATAACACCCTCTTCTTTTGACTTCATATATAAATAAAGGTAAGCAAATGCATAGTTTCTAGTTTAAATAAATATATGACTCTATAAAACTTTTATATGCTGCTACTGAGTCGATTAAAGCATTATAAAAAGCTTTAAAAATGCATCAAATAAAAGCTAAGTGTAAGCTTTTATTTTGGGTTTATATAATTTTGCTTATGGCTCCAGATGACTTGATGCCTTAGCAGTTATAAACTTCACCACTTGCTACAGAATCATCGTACTGAATTACACTGTTTTATGTTTAAGAGGTAATTTAAAACTCATTGCAGAGATGACAGTCCTAACTGACCCACTAATTGGTTGGAACCGTTCCTTTTTCTGCTACAAAAATAAATCCTCAAAAGGCTTTAAGAAATAAGAAATAAGCTGTAGGCAAGTTTTTAATTTTCATAGAATCTAAAAAAGATTTGCTTAACAGGAACTCGAAATGGTTGTGATGTTCATAAACTTATCAGCTAAGAAATCAGGGACACTTCTTGATTACAGTTTAGAGTTTTTTCTATGAAAGCATAAGGAGACATTAATAAAATAAAGAACCTTAATGGATTTGTTTAGAGGGTTTCAATGCCCCAAACATTACTTTAATAACCATGTACTACTGTTTTAACCTGTGTCTTTATTTTATCACTTTTGTTGCTAAAAAGTAAAGCAGGTATACATTCTAGAACGGCTTCTCATAAATCAGCAGTTATTGGGTTTAGTATTTTTTCCAGATCTGTCCATCTTATAGGGAGAAGATTGCTTATAGCTAAAAGAAACCTTCTGAACAAAGTTCATAAATGTATTAATAATCTGCATATATTTGATCATGTACATAAAATTCTGATCAACTTTAAGTAAAACTCAGGGGTTTTTTGTTGTGTTTTTTTTTTTTTTTTGCTGCCACAACTAAATTAATCTGTTTGACACATCTTGCTTCCAGTGTGGGAAAATAATTTCAAATAAACAATATAAATGTCTCAAATATTGTTCTTTTATGACTTTGACATCGTTACCAACATCTTTATTTTTAACATTTCTTTATGAAGGGTATGTTTTCTTCTTTCTTCAATCATCCAGACAGTTCTTCTTATCAGCTACTTTGCGCCTCAGTTGCTTCCTTATTGTCTCTATTTTCCTCAGGGCCTGTGAGTTTTTCCTCAGATGTTTGCAATATTACTTCATCTGTTCGTGTCCTGAAGATTTTCTTGCTTTTCTTTTTTGAGCGGTATTGCTGAATAGCGCGCATGACATCAGCAGCAGTCCATTGGTGACGAGTGAGAGCATCCTGTAGGGTGAACTGCCCATCTCTGGTTCGCCTCACTCCCTTACAAACTGCCGAGCTGCGCAGCTCCAGTCCGATCTCATGCACGACTTTGCACAAATACTTCTGAGTTTCATTTAAGCACTGCACCTCTGGAAAGACAAAATACACATATGAAGCATCCCGCAAGGCAAAGAAATGATGTATATTTTCTCTTGCTCTGCTGAGATTTACCTAGGGTGAAATTTGGTGGCTGGAAACGAATGCATCGTAAGCTTGTCAAAATAGGAACCGATTTCCCGTCAGGACCCAGTAAACCTTTGACGGCCAACTCATACGCTTCCTGTGAGCTCATGTCTACATTGGAATACCTTTCGGGGAAAAAAATTAAACAAATCATGCGTCACATCTGTGTGATCATTTTGTTCCTTATAGATGCCGAAACAATGAAACAAAAAGATTCATGTGTGATGTAAAAAGGAAAAATCCGTTGCATACATTCTCAGGGCTTTCTGATTGGCTCCCTCCAGCATGGCTATCACCTTCTCCATCTTGTCCCGTGTGATGTGACCTAATGAGCAAGAGGAGATTTTTATGCCTTTTATGCTAAAGATTTAAATTACAGCTGAAGGAAAACTTAAATTCTATGCAAAAAGGTAACTTTACCTTATTTATGTGAAGATACTGACTAAAGGAAACATCGTTCAAAGTTTCTCACCGTAAGTGGTTCTCTCCACAACTCGACCTGCGTGAGTGAAATCCTGTGTTGCTGTTCCAAATTCACAGTCCAGAGTGTAATCCTTTAGTAAAAACACATATTAATTAGTTCGATCTAAAAAACTTCTGATGTTTATTATAGGCTACTGGATGAGAAATTACCCGTGTAGTTCGTGTTCTGTAGAGATCGTTCAGGATTCTGTTTCCCTTCCCAACAGAAAGAACTAAAAGAAAAAGATCTTATCAAATGTTCTGAAAAATTATTTAAGAGACACAATGTTGTTATACGGCCTCCTTAGAGTTTTACCAAGAACACCAGAGGATGAGACATCCAGGCGGTGACCAACTCCAACCTTGATAAGCTGGAATTCAGGACCCGTCACTAAAACATAAGGAAATGTGTTTCACTATAAAAGGAAAACATTGATTACTGCATAATGCCATGATATCGATTATATTTAACCCATATTTCTTCACGTTTTACCGGGTGTGATCCTTGACAGGGGCCAGTGTCTCTAGAACTGGTACTGGCCCCTGTCCTCAAGACGACACTAAAACAATCCCAATGATATGTGTCGGAGCAGACGGTTACTGATGGGTCAACTCATATCATTGTTTCCCCCTGTACAGTTCTTAGACAAA